GTTTAACTGACGTCGGATTACTATTATAAAATCCATCTTTGGCACGGGTATGTGGTAAAAGAGAATCGTAATTCGCCGCGTCAGTAGGCGTCGCGTGCGACGTAGCGACCGCTAGTGGGGACGACTTCAGGTGGTATCGATCCAGAATAGACAATGTGCGACCAAAAATAGACATAAGTATCTACCATGTCCTTGTCAACGTGAAATTCGATGCTCCAATCGGAAAAGTATAGTAAATTGAGGCCATCGCCTCGAATTGCTCAATGCCGCACGCGACGAAGCGTTGGGGGAAAAATACAAGTATTCTCTAGCCCGTCTCTCCCTGGCACAGGAGGAGAGGAGTTTGAGGACAACATCATCCATTAAAATCGTTTCAACTCACTTTATTCTTGGGCTCGCAATACTAGTATTTTTTGGCACTCTATTGTGGATACAGCATTTATTTTTTTGCGCCACCGCTGTTTACCGCCGTAATTCGATCCTACTATAATATATGGCACCAGTTCCTACTTGCACAGATTTCCCACAAAATTCATTACACACTTGAATCTGGGATCGTGATCACGAAGAGCATGACACCCATTTTCCTAGCTGCCGGCGCACATAGGGCTCTTTTAAAAAGACGATCCGCAATAAGGAGCGTAGGGGTTGGCGGTGAAGTGTAGGGGAGTAGCCGAATGAATGATTAGTGAGGACATAATGCCAACGGGAACGTCGAGAACATCTTTGATACGACCTTCCTCAAATAATTGCACAGGCGAAATGCCAAAAAACCTATTGTTGGAGCGACTCCATTCATTCATGCTACTTGTCCGGGTAGCATCGCTTTTGCTGCGTTTTTGGTGCGTTTCGTTCTAGGTGCTGACATCGTCAGTGAGGGAAGGTGTTCTGTATTGAGAGGGACTGTACGTGAATGCGAAAGCGCTGACATCTTGAATAGGACCATTTTGGCCTCGAGCACTGCATGTACACTTCATATCCTCAAGACGAGGAGGGCGTGACAGCACCTCATTTGAACACGACCTAGGAAGCTTTTCTTATTGGATGCTTCATCGGAGACAGCTGTCTCCATGGATGTGCTGGATAATGTTATAAATGCGACTGTCCGCAGAAGAAAATTTTCTACCAGAAGTGCAGCAAGATCGTCAAATTCTAGTGGAGTGCGCAACCCCACCCTCTCCATCTTCGGGATATGTGGTCTACGAGCACACGGCAGGAGTGTGTGTTCGGTGGTATCTTGTTTGCCAGAATCATGACGATCTTTGTTCTTCCCCCTCTCTTCCACGTACTTCTAAATGAGGAAAGCGGTACATCCTCTTACAGTGTGAACCTGTGCACCTGATCCAGTGGAAGCCTGCCCTAAGCCCTACCCTGTGCACTGAGCTTTCAACTACTGATTGAAAGCGGAAAAAAGACTTAAAACACTCAACCTCTATTGGAATTATGATATATTCTGGAGTTTTCTTCATGCCCCACATGTGCAGTCTTGCTCGCTGAGGACGCTGGGGTAGGTTGGAAGGGAGGCGGGAGGGAATGGGTTTGGCGTGGCGCCAGCCGCTTCTCCATCAGTTGTTGAAGCTGGCAAGAGGCAACTATCGGTGGGTCGGCGCCGCGCCAGACCCACCTTTTCCTTCCAACACGCTCCAGCATCCGCACCAAACAAGGTAAATGATTTCTGGGGAGGCTACCGGAAAAATTAGTAGGTTCAAGAGAAGGAACTTACCGAAAGCTAATGGAAAACAGTATTGCGACCCTAAGCAGCTGACTCGACCACGAAGAATCGGCGTCAAAATAATGGCAAATAGTGAGCCACCGTTAATGGCGAAGTAGAAGAAGCTGAAGAACTGAGCTCGGAGATCCTGCTGCTCTTCTGAGAACTGAAATTGAACTCTGTAAGAAGCAGTACGAAAACCATGAGATGCCTCCAGAAGATACCTGATCGGCAGCAAAAGCTGACACACATGGCTTGATTGCTCCAGTAGCCAAGGCAATCACCAATAGACCACCAAAGTCGAACAGCGTTCGAACTCCTGACACAAACCTGTACAGGTAGAGCGAATGGAAAGAATTTCGGACGACTCACCTATACCCATGGTTGGAACGGCTCCGAAAGAGAGCAAAATATGACCAAGTACGTAGACTGATGAACCGTAGAGTATAACCTAAACATGAGCATTTCAGTTGTAAATCTATTTCATTACTAGATTCTTTACCTTAAACCTGCCGAGGTAGGAATCAGCGAGTAATGATCCAAGAAGAGGGGACAAATACGCAAGGCATGTGAACGCATGGTAGATGAGAGTGGCAAAGCTGAAATCCATTACTTTCACTAGCAGCCATGCTACTCTTTCCAATTCGAGTCCTACTGGTTTCACAAGGTGCCTTCTATAGAATGATGGCTCAATTGAGTCCATGTTCTGCAAAGTCCAGTTTTCACTGTGGGTGGCAAAGGCTTGTTCTTGCCAGACCACTAGCCAAACTGATTCTTCATGAGCCTCAAGTTTTCTTTCTTTGACTCTCTTCGGGAGCAAAAAATGGAGGTTTCGTGGGGTACCTTATTTGATCAGAAGCCTGATTCTATTCAGTATAAAAATATAGAAAAGAATAAACTCTTCATCGTTGATCAATCCCTTCTTCGGGATGCGGCACGCATTCTACTTTAGAACTACAGTGACTTGTTGAATGTGATGTGGCCTATACAATGACTTGCGGGGCCAGCCGATGTACAAGTCAGTGTTTTATCCTCCCAGACGAATCTGGTACCAATTAACCGTCCCCGGAGGGTATTTACATATTTACGTGTACAATGACGCGCCAGGTCAATACAACGGCCCGTGCGGGTCAGTAACAGAACTCAGCGATTCTAGAATCAAACACAAAGGAAATGATAGGAAACAAAAAAATTCAAGGGAACAACAAAAAAGAGTTAAAAAAGTAACAAAGTAAAAAGGAAACAGAAAAGAAATAAAAATAGACACACGAAAAAGGAAAGCGCGAGGAGGAACTACCATGTGACCAAAAACATTCATGCCTTGGAAATCTATGTAAGAGGATGCACTAGAAGTAGAGGAGACCCAAAAAGACGAAACTCAGACAGAAGGGCTACAGCGCCTTATGATATGTAACTCCTCGAAATGAAGAGTGGCATGTGTGCATATGAAGCTAGAAAGAAGAAACAACAAGAACAGAGCTGTCCTGGGCGGTTTCGAAGTAACAGCATGACTTTAGATTAAGCAGTTATCCAAGAGGTAGGGTAGAACGTTTGGTTGGTCAAGTCGGAAGCACCTGGGATTTGAATCGGTCTGCGCGAGTGATAGGCGTCCTTTCAGCACATCTAATATTATGCCAATAACATACTACGGAAGTGAAACAGAATTTCAAAGAGTCACACTTGCTCCCACGATGTTGAAGCTCGCTTTAGGAGCATTTGTGTAACGAATAAGACTCTATTTATTGGTATTTCTTTTATTTGAGAAATAGAAGTATTATGGCTCCTGAGAATCATTGAGATGGTCAGAGGGGCAATCATTCCCTTTGCGATTTAGAATCGAGGACAGGGAGCATTACAGTTTTAAAGACAGTCCCCCCCTCTCCGGTTCAAACGATTCGTAGGTGTCCCTCCTTGACAACTAGTCCGGTCCTCAATCTCTATGCTAACCCACTCTCGCGGCTTCACACTAAGTAAAGAAGGCGCTATGGCCCTCATAAATGGCAGTTCTGACATCTCACTAATTGTCTCGCCCACCAGAATTCAGGGCCTATTTTTAGCCACTAGTTCAGTTTTTCACCGCGTTTTTGGCTTTTTTTCACTGTTAGATGATACAAGCATTGTATGACGCGAACAGACGATAAGGCAGGAAATGGCTTTGCTGCATAAAACTAGTCGGTCTGGAGTACTCGCACAGTGAGGCTGCCTGGGGTCCTTACTTAGGACTACTTTCCCTGGACGGTCGTTTAGCGATTGGTTGGATTAAACTGAACGCCATTACCCGCAATATACAATCGCGGGATTCGTCTTTAACTGGCGCCCTTGTTCCCTAACGTTGCCCTTTGTTGCTAGAAAGTGGCAAAACGAACTGAAACGAGAGCACTTCTCGATGATTCAGCAAACCATTATCAACAATAGGGTGAGGGAATTGGCGGTCTCACCAGACGTTTCCAAACAGCAAGGAACATTTTTGTGAATGGCAGAAACCTGCATTCGCAACTTACCAGCCAGTTTTCCTGATGACTCGAGTGCACCACTGTATGGGATCTAATTTTTTGACGTCCAAGGTCATGGTGCTCTTCACTTCAT